CGTGTATGTGTGTGCATGTGTGTGTGTGCGTGTGTGTGAAGTAAAAAAAACTAGCTTTTGAACAGTTAAATAGCGTTAGAAAAATTAAATATCACATCGAAAAACATTGAAATAAAATCGGAAACAGGAAAAAATTTTGAGTTGAGGAGAGAGAGAGAGAGAGAGAGAGAGAGAGAGAGAGAGAGAGAGAGAGAAAGAAAGAAAGAAAGAGAGAGAGAGAAAAATAAATAGAAAGAAACAGAAAAAACATAGATAGATTGAGAGAGAGAGAAAGAGAAATGATGCATTTACCATCTTACTTACTCATATCATCACTCTCATTAGTATTCAGATTCCGTGAAAACATTTAAGTTAAGCTGATTGAAGAAGATGCTACTAAGATAGGATTGGTTCTCTGCTACCGTATGTTATATTCATTCTCATTTTAAGGGTAATGTACTGGTCGGTCGGTTATTCGGTCGGTTATTTAACCGGATAAATACCCGGTTATTTGGCCGGTTTGTAGAAATTTGGTTATTCAGTCGGCTTACGGCAAATCTGGAATGAAATTAAAAATATTAATTAGTTTGATTAAATTACTAATGATTAGTTACATACACAGACCTAAATTAAAGCAATTCTGAAGTGATTCAAAAGAATGAAATACACATTCCACGATAATACTTAATAATAAAAAAAAGGTTGCTAAACGAACACCATTTATATTTTTTGGTTTCGAAGTAAAGAAGATAATTATTCTGGAATTTCTCTCTCTCCCTATTTTCCTCCCTGTCTCTCTCTCTCTCTCTTTCTCTCTCTCTCTCTCTCTTGATCATCCCGTCAAATTTACGTTTTGTTACAACGCGTCAAATTTCCACGTAAGATTTACGAGAAGAAAGAACGAAAGAAAGAGAGAGAAGAGAGAAAGAAAGAGAGAAAAAGAAAGAGAGAGAGAGAAAAAGAGAGAAAGTATTAGCACTAATAACAAAAAAATGCAAACAACATCGAATGAAACAACAACGTATAACAATAACAAAAGCAAAATATAACTTGAACATACATCACAAATAAAACTACAAACAACAAAACGCACGCAAAAATTGTACATGCAACATTAAACACAACAAAACTCGCTATATTTCAAACAAATTTGAAATAAGCAAACAAACAATTACTGTTTACAGCTACAACAAACAAACAAACACAAAATAACCAACCAACTAACCAAAGAAACAAATCACTATATGATGACGTTTGCATGACGTCATCATTAGAAGAAGCACTAATGCACTGGAAGCGCATCTGTTTCTTATACTTCCACAGTAACGTGACTACCTAACTTCAACCTTCCAGCCTACCACTCTTCACCGCTACTACTTCAACTACTACTCCTACCCTACTACTACTACTACTACTGCTACTACTACTACTACTAATAATACTGCTACTTCTACTACTACTACTACTACTACTGCTACTACTACTACTACTATCAACTACTACTATTAATACTGCTACTACTACTACTATTAATACTACTACTATTAATACTGCTACTACTACTACTACTACTACTACTACTACTACTACTACTACTACTAATACTACTACTACTAATAATAATACTACTACTACTACTATTAATACTGCTACTTCACTACTACTACTACTACTACTACTATTACTACTAATACTATTAATACTACTACTACTACTACTAATACTACTACTACTACTATTAATACTGCTACTTCTACTACTACTACTACTACTACTGCTACTACTACTACTACTATCAACTACTACTATTAATACTGCTACTACTACTACTAATACTACTACTACTATTAATACTGCTACTTCTACTACTACTACTACTACTACTACTACTACTACTACTGCTACTACTACTACTAATACTACTACTACTACTATTAATACTGCTACTACTACTACTATTAATACTGCTACTTCTACTACTACTACTACTACTGCCGCTGCTGCTGCTGCTACGACTATTGCAAGCCACATCCAAACTTTTCAAGCCCATAAATAAGCAATTTCACACAGTCATACATAGGCATGAATGCGCTGAATGTAACAAGTTGAAAAGTTTACGCTGGCGTGCTCCAACTTCACACATACACACAAACACGCACAGACACACACACACACGTGTACATATATACACACATACATACAAGCAAACATACGTACACATTCAAACATACATACAAAAATACATGCAAATAAAAAATACAAATACATACAAAATACAAAAATACCAAGTGCAAACATTCTTTTGGACACATCAATGCAAATTTACAAATTTAAAAATAAATCATACAAAAAAAACAAACATACAAACATACAAACGAACAAACAAACAAACAAACAAACATGCAAAACGAACGAACAAATGGTTAAGTAACAAATTAATATACAACATAAAGTGCATTACGTCAATCATCTTTTGGCTACCTTATAAAATTTGTTGCTACCGATGGATGATATTGATGATGACTTGAAGAATGATGGGATGGTGATGATGATGATGGTGGTGATGAGGATAATGATGACAATATACGCCAATTTGTTTGTTAGTATGTTTGTACATATACATATTTATTTTTTGTTTGTTTGATGTATGTTAGATGTATGCCTGTTTGTATGTTTGTTTGTATGTTTGTTTGTATGTTTGTTTGTATGTTTGTTTGTATGGTTTTTTTTTGTATGTTTGTGTACGAAGGAGGCAATCACAGACGACATTAATCAGCGCATTTATGGCTGCCAATTCGTGTTATTAGTGCAATAAACATTGATGTATTGCATTGCATTACATTGAATTTATACAGAGAGATAGTGAAAAAGAGGGAGAGGGAGAAAGAAAAAAAGAGAAAGAGAGAAAGAAAGAAAAAAAGAAAGAAAGGTGTGTGTGTATATATATTTATATAATACGGTAGAAATAAGCATTTTTCTATTTTTTTCATTTTTTTTCCTTGATGGATTGAATGCAATCAATCGACCAAGCCGTGGCACTATCTTACTTACTAAAATCAACAGCCTTCCAGTCCAATATCATTAATCATCACCATCGTCGTCGTCGTCTTCATCATCATGTCGTCTTCATCATCATGTCGTCATCCTCATAGTTTGTTGTTTTTGTTAAAAGTTTTTGGTTTATAATGTTTTTATTTTTGTTTTGGTTTCTTTTATTTACTTTCATTTTTAGAGGCATAACTCATATTTTGAATGCTTGCAATGTTGATGGTGGTGTTGTTGTTGTTTCGGTTGTGTTTGTTGTTGCTGCTCTTTTTGTTGTTGGGTTGTAACGATGTGTGTGTGTGGATGTGCGTGTGATGTAATTTAGTTGTCTGTTTGTGATGTGATTTGTGTTGTTATGCAGCTGTGTTGTTTGGGTGATGTTGTTGCGGTCGTTGTTTTTGCTGCTGCTGACGTTATATGTGTTGTTGTGTTGTTGCCAATGCTGCTGATGGGGATAGTGTTGGTAATAATAATGACAATAATCTTGCTGTTGTTGATGATGTTTTTTATGGTTGTTGTTTCGCTGAAATGTGTTGTTGTTCGATAATGTCGTTTTGTTTTTATCATGTTATTCTTTGGTGAATCTGAAGAAATTATAGGACCCCTGAGAGTAAAGAAACAAAATCATTAAGGCTATTGTTCGTGCTATTCATGTTTTTGTTATTTTTTTTTGTTTTTTCTTTCTGTCTTTCTTTCTCTCTCTGTGTCTTTCTCTCTCTCTCTCTCTCGCTCCCTCTTTCTCTATCTTTCTTTCTTTTTCAAAAGTGTATAAACACTTTTGTATAATGAAAATTAAGAAAGTTTTGCATCCTAAATCCGTATCTATATTTATAGAAAGTGAAACGGAGCAAATCGAAACAAATCGAAACACATTTTAAACGATACGTGACAGTACGAAACGAGACGAAACAAAACAATGGTTGGTGCATTAAAGAACCGTCCTAAATGACTAAATGACAGTTCGAAAAAGATTTGTGTTTGTTTTTTTGTTTGGGTGTTTGACTGCGTGTTCATTCTCTTGTTTGTCCGTTTGTTTGTTCGTTCGTTCGTTCGTTTGTTGTTTTGTTCGTTCGTTCATTTATCGAATAATTATTGAGATGCTTTACGCTTTGATTGAGAGTTTATAAGAAAGTGAATATCATTTGATGTTTTTCATCATGTTATAAAAAATTATATTCTGAATGAAAATGTAACCAAAAAATAATAAAATTACACACACACAAAAAAACACAGACAGGCACACAGACACACTCACACACACACACACACACACACACACAGACACACACACACACACACACATAAAGACCCACACTTGTAATTCTCGGGATTTTTTTTATACCGTCTACGCTACGCTAAATCAATTTAACGCATTAATTTTTGAATGTATTAGCAGGAATCGCACGAGTCTTCAGAGGATATAAACACACACACACACACACTCACACATACACACACACATATATACACACACTCTCTCACACACACACACATACACGCACAAACAACACGCACACACACCACTACTAATTATTAGACGTGAATGTACGTCAATTTTTCGCTTCATCTTCCGGATAATTTTTTATTTCTATAGCGCGCAAATTTTTTATTTCTATAGCGCGCAAATTTTTTATTTCTATAGCGCACAATTTCCGCACTTTACCTCTCCTCCACTAAGCAATCGTTTTATGGCACCCTAGTGGCTTCTATATTCTTAACTTCAAAACGTTCATAAGTAGCTAAGCATCATTATAAGAACCAGAGTTTATGTATGAGTGTGGGTATGTGTGTGTGTATACGCGTGCATGTACGTGTGTGTGTACGTGTGTGTGTGTACGTGTGTGTGGATACATGTGCTAGTAGGCGTATAGTTTCTGCCCGTTTTAATATTTAAAATAGTTTCTACAATTTTATTCGCGAAGATTTTGTGAATGGTTTATGAGAATTTCAGAGCGTTTTCGTTCGTTATTATTTCTGTCTCCAGAAAAGAAAGCAAATTGATAGAAGCAAAGAACACAAACATGAGAAAAGTGGACGGACATAACATGAAAAGCGATATCAATAACAACATAAACTACAACAACTACAACCACAATAAACACAACAACAACTACTACAACGACAACAACAACCACGACAACGACAACAACATCATCAACAACAACATCAACAACATCAACAACAACCACAACAATAGCGAACGTGTAAATGGTTGTCTTAAAGATCAAAGCCATCCTAGTTATTGCTTGGATGCTGTTCAAAGTTTAACAATTAACACAGCGAAAATATTCTCGCCACCATTATTATCGCCATCATTCTCAACAACGACAACATCATCATCTTCTTCTTCTTCATCTTCATCGTCTAACCACACCCATGATAACGTCATCAACAACATCATTAACACAACAACAACAACACACAAACGACAAACCAAAGACACAAATAGTCTCATGTGGATAAATGAAGAGTTGCCATGGTTACGAGCAAGTGTCGTTTCAGTAACTGGACCCAAACATGCACCCCTCTTCACGGCCCAGATGACCTTACGGGGCAAGGTCAAATTTTAATATTATTATTATTATTGTTGTTGTTTTTGTTGTTATTTTAACACATTTATTTATGTTTTTATATAGTTATAGCTAAAATTTATTAACATATTCTTGTTATTAATAATGTATTTTTTACTAATTTGAAATCGCTGAAATAGAAATGGTATTTTATTTTTAATTTGTCAAGTATGTTTGTATATATATGCGTTTGTTAGTGCGTGTGTGTGTGTGGTTTGTGAGTGTGTGGTTTGTGTGTGTGTGGTTTGTGTGTGCGTGGTTTGTGTGTGTGTGGTGTGTGTATGTAAAAATGTGTTAGTGTGGTGTATGAATGTAACAAATAACTGCTTTCTTTTAATTTTCAATTTTGAGAAGCAAATAAAATTTCGTTTCGTTTCGTTTCGACGTAATGAAAAATTTGTTTGGTTTGAATGACGTTTCCCCGATCAGACGTACGAGGCCAGCGGTCCAACCAAGAAGATGGCCAGGCTGAACGTAGCATCAGCTGTTGCCCTCTCCCTATCTAAGTTCAAGGTCAATAAAAAACAAAATGTCGAAAAACTCTTTGATGTAGTTTGCCGAAAGAAAAATCTCTGTTGTGATACGTCATATCATCCGCCGTGTCATCATCTTCATCAGCATCATAATCGTCAATATCAGCATTATCATCAACGTCTGCACGAACATAATCATCATCATTATTATCATCATCATCATCAATCACATCATCACCAGCGTTCTTATCAACATCAAGATCATAGCGTGTATCACCACTACCGCCATCATCATCAGCATCAGCAGCAGCAGCAGCTGCTGCAAGGGCATGAGGATCATTTTCGTAGGGACGGTAGTAACAAACTGATACGATGGAATGCTGTCTCTGTCCTCAACGACCTTCGTCCACAAGTCAAGTACATCAAACTACAACATCACATCAGTGAGGAGAGCAGTCCATTACACGGTCAACAACAACAACAACAACAACCACAACAACAACAACCTCAACATCCGAATGCATATCAACATCAAAACGCACAACAATACCAACTCATAATCAATCCATTCACATGTGATTTCTTCAAGTTCTCATTATCGGAGAGAAAGTTCGACAGTTACACCAACAAAAATGTTAAAAATGAAATTGGAAAAAATGGCTGGTTCAATAAAAGCAACAACAACAACCAAAACAACAATAGACAACAAAGACAACCTTTAGTTACTGTATCCTTGAACGTTGATAACGAAACTTTCATAGGCTCTGGACCCTGTATCAGAATTGCTAAACAAAAAGCTGCCAAACTTGCTTTAAAGACTCTCTTTAATCTAGAAAATTTATTTAAATAATGATGTTAAGTTCGGTATAATGTTGCGAATAAAATTCTTTGGCTTGTTTTATCAATTTCGTAACATTTTGTACAGGTTTTATTAAAATATTTAACCATATATATTTTGTGGCATTTTTATCTAATGAGACCAAAAGCCTTTTTATTTAAAAAGTTTGATTTAATTATAATTATATAAATTTTTTTAAACAACAATATTAAAGCTGTAAAACGTTGGTTTTAATGAATTAAATGTCAAAATCATAACCCAAGATAAATTGAAAAGTAAAAAAAAGTGTTTCTTTTTCCATAGTTTGAGCATATTCTGAAAACGGGTCGGCCTATATGAATTTCTTGGCTCATAATATAATAATGTATAAGTATGTATATAATACATGTTCATGTATAACAGTGTAGCACATACATTCAATAAGTTTTTACTGGTGTGAATGATTGAAATGATGAGAATGTATGGTTGAAACGGGTATAAATAGGAGCTGAGACAGCATGAAAATCAGATCAGGCGTTCTGCCTCGCTTAAAGCTTGAAGCGGTGTTGTGAATGTGATATGAATATATTAATTTATTAAAAGCATTATATGAACAAAAAACCGCTATCATACCGTTTTATGAGACCCGATAAGCCACTGCAGTAAGCCAAAGTATAATTTCCGCTACCTATTTCAATGAGCACTAGAATGTAGAATATTTATTGAATATAATAAAGATAGTTGTTCAAATAACAATTTAATCGATTTATGCCGTTTATTTCCTTAGCAAACATAAGTTTAACATGATCAAATAGGGGAAAAATAAAGTGACTATAGTTCAATCCTAGTAAGCCAACCATGGCTTCAGTAAGCCACCGGATTTAACCGGACAATAAAGCAATTTTTATATTCAAATTAACAAAAATAATTTAATAACACATAATTTTATTTAATAAAATTAAGTAGAGTTACTACACTGGTTTAGATATATTAAGTCATGTAAATATTTCATATAATGTAGCTTGCTTGATAAAACTTGAAACCCATACAATTTTGTAAGCCAATAAGCCAACAATCCATTCCAGTCAAATAGGCCGATCCTTCTGAAAACAAAGCAGAATTTTTAAAGTGAATTTCTCGCAAAATTTCAAATAAAATTACACTTCTTATAAATAACTCTAAATTATTTACATAAATGGCAAACGATGGTGCTATCATTAACATGTCATGTTCGCCAGAAATATTCATCACACCTCTTGGTCAGTTAGTGGGAATTTTGGTTGAGATCAGATTATTATGATTGAAACTTGTGAATGAAACTGATTCAATGAATTCTGAATTGATCAATCAATTAGTGTCACTAATTTTTATAGGGATATATGCCACATATCATATGATGATAGTGATGTGCTTTAGTTTTATTGGCAATATAAAAAAAAGATCTTTAGTATTTATGTTTCACTGTGGTTGGTTAATCGGCCAGTTAAATAATTTCAATGCTTTTTTATATTTGGATTCTATAATTATATATATATTTATTATAATAATATATTATAATCCATATTCAATTTATCCATTCATAATGATGTCCCCAAAAACTGAATGTGCATTGTGTCAGGAGCTGGGCAAGGTAAATTTTACTAATTTTACTTACATTTTATTTTATCTGTAAATGTAAACTGTAAAGTAATTGTAAATATTTTGTAATATCACAATATAACTTTTATTGTATAATAATATTTATACTTTATTTTATGGTAATCTAAGATGTTATTTTTTAAAGAAAGTAATAAGAGAAAGAGAGTGTAGTGTATGTACGTCTGTCTCTGTGTGTGTGTGTATGTCTGTATAGGTATGTGTGTGTGTGGGTTTTTGTATGTGTGTGTTTTTATTAATCTTTATACAACTGCAGATGTTGGTAGGAGCTGCATACTGTTAACCATAGGTGGAAAAAACATTATGTTAGACTGTGGCATGCACATGGGTTTTAATGATAGCGTCAGTAAATTTTTCCATTTAAATTTTCTACTAAAATAACGTAAATCATAAATATTTATAATAATATAATTATAATTTATAAAAGTATAATTTTATTTGTTATTTATTAGTACTAAAGTAATTTAATTTTTTTTATCTTTAGAGGCGTTTTCCAGACTTCACATACATCAATAAAAATGGTCCCCTAACTGACCATTTGGACTGTGTCATCATCAGGTGGGGTGGGCAAAACAATCACACATACACACACTCACACACGCACACACACACATATATATATATATATACATATAAAAATTATATAAATATATATATTTATTTAACGAAGATTGACTGATTGATTTATTTATTTCAGTAATAATTATTAATAATTTATAATAATTTTGTCTAGTCACTTTCATCTTGACCATTGTGGAGCCCTGCCTTACATGTCAGAGATGGTGGGGTATGATGGGCCCATATATATGACCCACCCAACTAAGGCCATATGCCCTGTACTTTTGGTTGGTTGGCATGGTGTGTTTAAAGGTTATATTCGATTGGATTGATCAAACATGATGTAGTGTGCTATATAACGTATGATGTTATGTAACAGAGCGTAATGTTACGGAGTGTAATGTAATATAATGTAATGATGTAACATAGCGTAACAAACTGACGACAGGAAGATTACAGGAAGATAACAGTCGAAAGGAAGGGTGAGCTGAATTTTTTCACATCTGAAATGATCAAGATGTGCATGAAGAAAGTAGTTGTCGTCAACTTACATGAAATCATCTCCGTGGGTATTCGTTTCTCTCTCTCTCTTTCTTTTTCTCTCTTTCTCTCTCTCTCTCTCTCTCTCTCTCTCTCTCTCTCTCGTTCTTTTTTCTATTTTTTTAAATTAATATTTGAATTTTTTTCAATATTACATATTTTCCATTTTGTTTTGGCTAGGTGGATGATGACCTGAAGATCAAAGCCTACTATGCCGGGCACGTATTGGGCGCAGCCATGTTTCACATCAAAGTTGGAGAACTTTCCGTCGTTTATACGGTCCATGTTTTTCTTTGGTCTTTTTATTCTTTGTATATATTGCGTCATTTATATGGTCTGAGTTCTATGTTCTTTGATGTTTTTGGTTGTATCTCTTCAGTTTTTACTCTTTTTCCTTCATCCATTTAACCACATACTCATTCATATCATCACTAAACATATTTGCCCATCTCATCACCAAACACACGCGTACCATCATTCCACTAGGGGGACTACAACATGACCCCAGACCGCCATCTTGGGGCCGCCCGCATCGACAAATGTCGACCCAACGTCCTAATTACCGAATCGACGTACGCCACGACGATTAGGGATTCGAAAAGATGTCGAGAGAGGGATTTTCTGAAAAAAATTCACAGCACTATCGAGAGGGGTGGAAAAGTAGTTTAATTCTTTCTGTTTTATTTCTTTAGTTATATTTTGATCACACACACACGCACACACACACGCGCATACACCACTCACACACACACACATTACACAGGTACTGATTCCAGTCTTTGCACTGGGCAGGGCACAGGAACTATGCATCCTCCTTGAAACCTATTGGGATCAGAAAAATTTGAAAACCCCAATTTACTTCTCTCTTGGTCTTACTGATAAAGTTAGCTGTTTAGTTCATTGGTTGATTGATTGATTGACTGGTTGATTGGTTGGTTGGTTGGTTGGTTGATTGCCCAATTGATGATTGATTGATAGTTTGAATGCCAGTTCACTATTCTCACCATCATTAAAACGTATTTTCAAAGGCAACGAACTTTTATAAACTGTTCATCACGTGGACGAACGAGAAAATTAAGAACGCGTTTGTAGAGAGAAACATGTTTGACTTCAAACATATCATGGTTCGTCAGTTTATCATCATCATTCATTTACTCATTTGATTGTTATCATTTGCATTTCATCATCGTCATCATATGAATCTTCATCATAAGCGCCGTCGTTATCATCATCATCATCATCATCCTCATGACAGCCGTTTGACCGGAAATACATCGACCTTCCCGATCCCATGGTGGTGTTTGCCACCCCAGGAATGTTACACGGTGGTCTGTCTCTGCAGATATTTAAAAAGTGGTGCACCAATGAAAATAATATGGTTAGTTGGTTGGTCAGTTGGTCGATCGTTTGGTTCGTTGGTTGGTTGGTTTGTTTATTTGTTGGCTGGTTTGTTTGTTGGTTGGTTGGTTGGTTGGTTTGGTTGTTTGTTGGTTGGTTTGTTTTATTGGTTGGTTGGATTGCTATAATAATAATTAATTTTATTATTATGATTATTGTTATTATTCCCATTGAAGATAATAATGCCAGGTTATTGTGTTTCTGGAACTCTTGGTTGGAAGTTGCTGAATGGGCAGAAAAAAATCGAACTGGAAAATAGACAAATTGTTAGTCTATCTACTTGTAATATTACCAACTGTAAATTGTAAACGTGATGTAAACTTACTGTAATTGATGTCATTGTGATGTAATTCACGCGGTTGAATGTATCGTATTTGTATTTATTGTTACTGTTGTTGTTATTATTATTATTACAACAAGCTTGATGTGAAGATGTCAGTTCAGTACATGTCCTTCAGTGCACACGCCGACGCAAAAGGTCAGTTAATTAAAAAATGTATATATTAATTAATTAATTAATTAATTAATTGTTATTATTATTAATTATTAGTTATCAATTTTTAATTGACCTTTAATTTATTAGCCTGTTTATTAGTAGAGTCAATTAGCAAAATTGTTCATTCATTCATTCATTCATTCATTCATTCATTCATACATTCATTTATTTTTTTAAAGTTGGTTTATGAGATTGTTATAAACTGTTTGGAGGTATGTTTTCTAATTGTGTGACTTTTTTTTTCCACATTCTAGTTTGATGTCGTAAATTCGCTTTTAAACATCCCCACCAAGGCATAATGCAGTTGATCAAGCAGTGCTGTCCGGAAAATGTTGTGCTGGTGCATGGCGAGGCGGGAAAGATGGAGTTCCTGACCAAAAAAATCAACAAAGAATTTGGTTAGAATTAAAAAAAAATGGCTACCTCGATATTTTTCTGGTCTTCTTTTGTATTTCCTGAGTTTTGATCGATTGAGTATCTGGACCTGGATGATACTAAATATGGTATAGATAACGCAGAGTTTGGCATTTTTTTCAGTTTGATACTGTTTCATTTTATTTTATCGCATTTCATCACTCTTATATTTGTAGTTTATTTGTGATCTGTGTTTAGTTTTTCGGTAATTTAGTTTTATGAACATTTTTGAACCGTCTGTTACAGTATTTTATGTTAGCTATATGTTCCATCCGCAAAATGTGATGGCTGCCTGATTGTCAATTTTTTTTTTGTTTGTTTTTAATTTTTTAATTTTTTTTTTCGTAGGTATCCAATGTTTCATGCCCGCCAATGGAAAACGACTCCGTTTGAAAGTTTATTCTGATCTACAATTCGATGTTCCAAATTCTTTCATTGATAAGATTTTTGCAAGTAAGTAAACTACTTGTTCTCTTGTTATATTTATTTCAAGTTTTATTTCTGCTGCTGAAAGAGTTTAGACTTTATTAAACGAAAAAATCTCTTTAAACATCTCCAAAAAATGTAAATACAAGAAATTGAAAGAAATTTTCGAAAAAAATTATTAAAATCATTTCAGAAAACTCAAATGACAAAGATAGCCTCGTAAAGAACAATAAATGGTCGAGTGTGGAGGCAGCTCTGATCTTTAATGAAAATGTTACTTAGCATCTTCATTACCATTTTCAATAAATTTTTTATTCATTTTTTTACTCTCTCTCTCTCTCTCACTCTCTCTCTTTCTCTTTCTTTTTCTCTCTATCTCTCTCTCACACACACACACAACACACACATGCACGCACGCACGCACGAAACAGTCAGTGAAGTTAGTTGGTATGAATGAAGTGTCGCGTGAGTTGGGCCTGCCAGAGTACAGGATACGTACCGTGCACACTATCGACGTAGATTCCAACAATGTACCCTTGCAAGACCTAGAGAAGCTTTTACTCGAGTTTTTAAAATTGTTAGCTCAGTTTTTACATACATTGTAATTGTTTCTTTCATTCAATATTTTGTTAGTTATTAACTTAAATGAACATTTTTTATATCTCAATTGAACAAAACTTGAAAATTTAACTTTTTTTTTTAATGCATTCTCAAACTTTTACAGAGAATATAAAGTATTTACAAGCTCTCCTGGCAACATTCGCATAGGGAATGCCGTTTTCATTAAAATCGTTAACGTGTTAGACAAATTTAAAAAGGTCTCCAGCAAACAGCTAACAATCAGTTTTGACACAAAGGTTATCATCATTAGATATTGCGTTTTTTCCTATTTTGCTTTCGCTGTTCAAGTTTTTAGTTTGTTAATTACCTTGCTACGTGGCAATAATTTACTAAATTAGTTTTAATTGTAAAATATCTAATTTATTCTTACTTAAGAACGATCACATTGGAATGCCCTTGCTGAATCAATTGACTGAAAAGTTTGGCTATCCAGATGAAGTTATACCTAATGCTTTTCCCAGGACGACATGATATGATAATATATAGTATTTATTTTCTATTTGTATGAACAGTTTCTATAGAAATTTGAGGTGTGAGTTAGTAGCTATTTAAGGGCTGAATGTGTGTGTTTGATGGATGTATAGCATTTCTTTAGCCGATGGCTTGTTCCATTGTAATTGATGCTTGCTGCACCTTTTTTAACATTTGTGAAAAACATGCATATTAAATTTGCACTGGTAACGTTTTATTACTAACTACACCAATCAAATTACGTGTTCTTAATATTTGTTACTACTTTTTACTTTTAAATTTTTAAAAGGGCATTCGATGAAATTCCTCGTTTCGATAAAAGTATTTAATTTTTCTCGGTATATTGACAATATTGAAATTATTTCTTGAGGAGTTTGTAAAGAAAAAGAACGATAATATGATTCAGTCTTCTCTCTAAACTCTGCACTCTCTATTCAGTGACTACACTACAGTGACTGTACAGAGACAGACTGTACTACAGTATTAAGTACAGAGGCAGACTGTACTACAGTCTGTCTCTGTACTTACTACTCCTATTTTAGTTACTTTTTACTAGTTAATTAATTTGTACTACTGCAGAGTAAGTGGGAGAAATTTTTAGTATACTCCAGAGCCTACAGTACACTTAATTTTAATTATTTAATTTAATATAATAATAATAAGAAAAACTAAATTTTTTATTAAACTATTATAAAATAAATCATAAGAAAAATTATGTTTACTTTAATTTAACATTTAACTTTAAGGCTTGAGGTTATTTAGATAGAGTCATACATTACACTTAATTTTAATTATTTAATTTAATATAATAATAAGAAAAACTAAATTTTTTATTAAACTATTATAAAATAAATCATAAGAAAAATTATGTTTACTTTAATTTAACATTTAACTTTAAGGCTTGAGGTTATTTAGATAGAGTCATACATTACACTTAATTTTAATTATTTAATTTAATATAATAATAAGAAAAACTAAATTTTTTATTAAACTATTATAAAATAAATCATAAGAAAAATTATGTTTACTTTAATTTAACATTTAACTTTAAGGCTTGAGGTTATTTAGATAGAGTCATACATTACACTTAATTTTAATTATTTAATTTAATATAATAATAAGAAAAACTAAATTTTTTATTAAACTATTATAAAATAAATCATAAGAAAAATTATGTTTACTTTAATTTAACATTTAACTTTAAGGCTTGAGGTTATTTAGATAGAGTCATACATTACCACAACATCATAGATAGTTCTTTGTTCGTTCCAAATGAATAGTTAACATTCAAAATGAATAACTTACAACAATTTATGATAACAAAAGTTAACGAGCTGTTAAAATTGGATCTCAAAATAAAGAACAACTTGGTGAGATATTACAAAGCTTTAAAAAGAAAGCCAATTAATGTTTTCACACTGCAAGAAGCTGCCAACCTTAGTAAGAATAAAGTTAATAAAAAACAGTCAGTTGATCCTTTTGGTGTTAAACACAAACCACCTGAAATCAAATTTCCAAACAAAAAATCAGCTCACAAGTATGAAGATAACATCAAAGTTACTTATGAACATTTGAAGAATGATGATGAAAGATTTGGGTGAGAATTTTTTCTCACAATTTTCACTGTTTTTCAGTTCAAAAACTAGCTTTGTTATTGACACTATACTGTTTTTTTTTTATGTGCAGGCCTGTTGTCAATGAATTAAAGCTGAGAAAACGAAAATCTTCACTCATTTTATTGGAGGGAGTAAGGTTGATAACTGAAGCCATTAATCAGAAAGTCAAAATCACCAGCCTCTTTTTCACAGATTCCAACATTTTAAAGAAACTACCATGCAACAAAATTGTAAATCTGCAAGAATGCAAAATTTTTAAAGTTTCAGAAAAACAAATGAAGTTATGGTCAGAAACAAAAGGGCCTTCAGGCTCATTAGGTGGGTATATTGTTTACCAGTTACTGCTCAATGCTTTAACTTTCTGCATTTAACTGATTCACAGCTATTGCAAGACTGCCAACCTTTCCAAATGTTTCTTCATCTACATCCTCTCTTCTTCCAGTGACACTAGTCATTGATGAATTGAATGATGAAGGACAGCTTGGTACCCTGCTGAGATCTGCTGTTGCATCTCGTGTCCAACGAATTCTCATTATTCAAGGTGTTTAAACATTTTTTCCTAAGTATATTAAAAACAACTTAATTTTTCAATTTTGTGTGATGCAGATAAGTTGCTTTCAGTAACTTGAATACATCTTCTAATAAGATGAATATTTTTTTTATAAAATTGAAAGTAATCTACATCAGATTCCGTTGATCCTTGGTCTGCAAAAGTGCTCAGAGCAGGAATGGGAGCTCATTTTCACCAACCAATACATTCAACTCAATGGGAGAACATTCACTCCTACATCAAGAACGCAGCGCACAACATCGTCAACAGAGATAGAGATGATGAAACAGATAGAAAGAAATCACCCAACAGCACCTGCAACATCTGTGTTTTAAACACCTTTACAGATGAAACGTTAAACAAATTTACAAAACGTTTCAACTCCATTGAAGCTGTTGACTACGTTGATGACGTCAAATACGAACCAAACTGTTTCGTCATCATCAGTGGAGATAAACCATCTAAAAACTTAATAAATTTACTAGAAACTCATAACGACAATAAGATAACAATAAGAATAATAACATTTCCTAAGCAAAATGAAGTGCATCTGAGTCAAGCTGTATGTGGCAGCGTGTTGTTATACTGTATAATGCATAAGCTATCATCCCAGCTGTCTTGATATTTTTCATTATTAAGCATCTTGATACATTGATATGTGCATGTTATTTTCAATTATTTCACTTGTTCAATGTATTTTGTCCTATGGATGACAATAGCACTCGTATTTGACAGAGGAAATATTGAAAAAATTTATGAGACAAGTTATTTTGTTTTTTTTTTTTGTAATTGTACATCAACTAGTTTTTAAAAACATTGATGACCTTAAATGCAACCTTTGAAAGTTACAAAACAAAACATTCGCAATCAAGAACAATTCATTAAAAATTAGTTTTAAAAATATTTGATTCATCCGTTCCTTTTAAATATGTCAGTACAATATCAGTTAACGCAATAAATTTTCCTAAACAGATAAACAAACCAAACTATACGTACGAACAACACACACACACATTAATTAGATACACAATCGTTGAATAAATGTTATTTTTTGATGTAGAATCTAATCTCCGGACCACTTTCATCCACCCTAAGTCCGTTCTCATCCAGTTTGTTGCTCTTAAATGACACGACAAGGTCCGCGTAAGATTTGTTGGGCTGAACCTTGATCAAGCTGATCAGTCTATGGTAAATAAAATCGTGATTTTCTTTTTTAAAAATGGAAACATATCAGTATAAATATTCTGTTGTAAGGGTGTGTATGAATGTGTGTACGAAATCTGTACTCACGACAAATAACAGTCTGAAAAAATATCTATATGGAATAGAACACCCAAAGGGAGATGAGAAGACATAAATAAAAATTAATGACGATTTCGTCTGTCTGAGAGTAGTATTAGCAATTCAAAAGTGAACAAATAAGAAGTTTAAAATTTTTAATGAAAAATATTTCGATAAAAATGACAAACGATTGATTGAGCCTCTTTTTGTGTAGAACCAGCATATCAAGACTGTATATCAGCTTCATACCTTGCACCACTAGCACAGGCTCCATCTTGTACTTTTTCTATTTGAGTCAATTTTTTTGAAAAATTTTGCAGATTTAACATTTTTACTTTCTATAGCCAATTCATATAAAATCTAATCCAACTAAAAATCATTTGATAGCCGAACGGAGATGCAATTATAAAAGAAGAATTTTAGATTCCGTATTATGAAATTCAGCGCCGTTTGACCTTGATAGTCTTCATGAACTGGTCCAAGGTCATCTTGCCGTCCCCATGAACCTCCCATCTATCCCAAATACTGTACTGCATACCATTGCTAATCAAGTAAACAACAATAATAATAACAACAATAATAATAACAATAATAATAACAATAATTAGTAGCGGCAACAAAAGCAATCCGCGAAATTTTAGGTGCGCTTTTTAGGATGCAATAATCTTGTGACAATATAGTCAACCTTTTAATTAATCTTATGATCTTAGTTGGTTTACCTCAGCAGAGTTTGTTTGGCAGACCCTGGTTCGGACATGACGATGACAGGTAGTGCCATATTCAGGAACGTGTTTCTAAAGTTGGATAGCCCACACTTTTTTACAACTTTTAACAACTCAATCGCCACCTTGGTGTTGAGATATTTGATAAATTGCGGTCTATAGACATAGAAATGTAAATTTAAACGTAAAACATAACCATAATAACATTACCAGACCAGGTAATCAAAGTCACAACGTAGTCACATGACCATTACCGCCACTACCCCCATCGCAGCCACATCATCGCAACTAACAAGAGCGGCGACAGAAGCGGTGGTAGTGGCGATAGCTGGGACGATTCTACCAGCTATTTTCTTGATCTGAAGCCTGTCCATGCGCTCGATACCGTACATCTGCCCACGCAAGTTCTGCAGATGAGATGTGATGGTGATATTGTAATGATGTGATGGAATGTCATGTCATCATGTGATAATGTTATTTACGACTTAACAGTGCTATAACAATAAGATATGGTGTCAGCATCATGATATGATGTGATATGTCTAGGCGAAAATTCTGTGTCTGCTGGCTACATGATGATGTTATATGGTGCTATTTATTCATAAGCTCATAAATTGAAAAATTTAGCTATTCAAGCTAAGAAGTGAGAACAAGAAGACATTCATTCATTCATTCACGATGTTTGCAATCACGAGGACAATGATGATGCTGATGGCAGTGATGACGCTGGCGACTGCAGTAGCAATGATAATAGTGATAATAGCAGTTGAGGACATCCTAACGGAGAAAGCCGAAATGAAATCTATGTGATGATTGGCGTCGTTGTCTTTCTCAAATGATTCGGCTTTCAACTGCGCTGGGTCTGGTGAAATTTTTCGGCCGAGAATTATTATTATTTCTAATTTGCATTTAACAATTTTTTTTAAATGTTAACTCTTCAAATTACGGTTAAATTTCAATAAAATGAAATGATTTTTCTAGAAGCAATGTCACTTATTGTGTGGTAACTTCAGAACCAAACCAAACCAAACCAAGGTGACAACAACATTCATCACCACACCAAAATCATCAAACAAACAACAGTAAGATCGTCAGTAACAACGAAACAACACTATCAAAAATGATGTCATCAACTGACCCCTATCTCCAAATTTTGCCTTGACACTGGCAACAAGCTGAGCAAATTTATTGAGGTCGTCATCGCTTGGTTCCTCAGACGGGTGTTGCTGCTGTTTGTCCGGCTTTTTTACCTTTTCATCCGTCTCTATGGGCTTTATAAAATCAATCAAACAACTGATCAATAAATCAATAAATCAATCAATCAATCAATCAATTAATCAACCAACCAACTAATCAATCAGTCAGTCAGTCAATAAATCAATTAGCCGACCAACTAATCAAGAGAGTGAATTCAGAAGCAAATTGCACTTAAACTAGCCAAATGAAAATCACAAAACAGTACTATGATGGAAAAATAATAACAACAACAACAACAGTAATAATAATAATAATAGGGTCATTAATATAGCGCTCTATTATGCAACTATGCAAAGCGCAACATCAATCACATCCCCATCTCTAACTTTATTTTTTGACACAAACTGCACGGCGGGTAGAGATTTCAAATGGCTTATGCTCTCCTCTTTAGAACCCTTGAAAAATAAATTTGACAAATAATAATTATGGTAATAATTAAAATAATAATAATAAATATAGTCATAATAATAAATGTAATAATAAAAAATAATAATAAACCCGAATAGTACACTAACGATATCTTTGATATTTGAAATGGAGGCATAGAGGTGAGCGCACGACCAAACAAATGAAAAATGCCTAAGAGGGGAACAGTATATATATACATACATACATACAAACAAACACACGAAACTAAACAATAACGATACAATACGAAACGATACGATACATAACATACATACATGAAAACATACATATATACACACATACATACATACATTAAAAAATGCGAACTTCACTGCCAAAGTTTATTTCAGGTGCCACATGCGCTGGCTGGAATACCCAGAGTTGGTGCATCAGAACTGAGTTTTTTAGGCACACCCTTGGTCGAGGGCGATTATCAAATAGAGTTTTTTGACCAAAAGCTCTCTGAGCTTAAATTCGCCCTGGCTCGTGTTTCCTGTCTTTCGGCCCATGATGCCTTGACTATTATCCGCAATGCCCTCAGTTTGCCCAAATTGATGTACTTCCTGCGTACATCCAAACACATTGACCCTTCTAAATTTGGCAAATTTAACGGAGCCCTGCGCACCGCCCTGTCGTCGATTTGCAATGTTCAAGTGATCGACAGTGGTTGGTCCCAGGCTCAGCTGCCGATGCGATTTGGTG